TACTGTAGGATCCATCCAATTTTATCAGACCAGTATACATACTTTCTTCAACTGTATCAAGCCCTGAAGCAGAGAGACTCAATGAACATCCAAAACACGTTGGACTTTTCTGATATCTGAGTCTGATTAACAAATTAATTTACACTTTAGACATTCTGCTCTTTACACTTTCCTCTTACATACCTAGCTTTCTAATGTTAACTGTTTCCTTTTGCATATATTTCCCCTCTTCCTGTCTTTTACATGTCCACAGAACAGAACATGAGGGAATGCTCTCTAACAGAGCCCTTGATATCAGTAAAACCTGACAGAGGTTCTAACTTTACCCTATTCTATCCAAAACTAAACTAAAAAGGTTTGAGATATATAAACACTTTAAAGTGTAACAGAAAATAGAAAGAAAAGACCCTCATTTAATTGACGTATGTATTTCATAAATAGTTTATCAGTCTATTTTTGCACTAGCCTCCCACAACTCTCTCCATACCAGCATTAAGACTGGGAGAAGGAGATACAGCCAATCAGGCTTTACTACATTGCACAGTGTTGTAAAGATACCAAATTAAATTAAAATTTCAACTTGAATAAATAAATCTTGTGCCATGTACAAACTGCCTTTTCATTTTCCTCTGGCCAGTCAAGATATGGAGGATGGGTTTATTTCTTTTAACCTCAAAGGGGTCACACATTTGTAATTATCAACTGTCCATCTAAGTCTAACATATGGGTACCTGAAACAAGCTTGTAAATTAGAGACCAAACACTTTTTTTAGACCCAGGACTCAAAATGTCATATTCAATCTTAATAGGATAAAATTAAATGGGTTTTTACCCTTGTTGATCTGAATAGTTGTAATCTCAAAATACGTCCACTAAAACACTAATTTGAGGTGAATCTCTTATGTCTAGCTCCTCCTCACCACTGCCCCTTCTGCAGTTATCAGCTATCAAAATGACAGATGCAGCTACTCCTGTATGAAATTACACATGCAGACAGTCTGCAAGCAGGGGCGGGCTGACCATTCAAGCACTCGGGCACTGCCCGAGGGCCTGGGGTCAGTAGGGGTCCCATGAGATGCCCCTGGTACCTTTCATTGGCTTTTTCATAGGCTTTTTTGGGTGTGGGCGAGGACACAGGGGCCCCATGATCCCCTATTGCCCGGGGGCCCCATGAGTTGTCAGTCCACCCCTGTCTGCAAGTGTTATTGAGTAAATACAATTTAACAATGTATTGTTGTTTTCTCTTTACTATGGTATTGATATGAAGATTAAAGGTGTGAACTTTAATCTGCTTCTGACATCAGTTAAAGGAACTTTACAAGTAAAAATGAACATGTATTCCTCAGTTACCCCTAATTATCACTAATTTACTCCTTCGTCATCTTTCATATGTTCTTAGCAATTATTTTTCAGCTTTTTTTTTTTTAATTTTTTTAACCATTATTTTTTTTTTCCATTTTTACTTGTTTTGTTTTTTTTTGTGTTGCATAAAAATAAAATAAGCAAATGTGTATGCATAAATTTTGCAATAAAAGTTGCCATGCTTTAATTTTAAATGGAACAAAGTAAAGAATGAAGTGTATACTTTTTATTTACAGTAAAACTACATTTTAAACTAACAATTGTCAAAATAGAAAAGAAAAATTTTTTTGCAAGGTAATATTTCCAAAACAAGCTTAGTTTGTCCCCAGAATTACTTTTTGATCTTGTGTGGTGGCACAGGTATTGCCCAATAACTAGGCCCATCACTGAAATGTAAACTTTACTCTGGTCCATAAGGGGTATACAGGGACAAGTTTACACAAGACACAACAGAAGTGGTTAAACACATTAGATTTTTTTTTTATTATAGGCTGTATTGAATTGCATTTTATAATACAGTACAAAAAAGGACAACTTTAAAGTGAAACAAATATGCCATGGAACAAATTATTACCTTCATCTGAAGAACATCAAGAATAACAGTTTACTTTTAATCCTTTGTGTAGCGACAAGCACAATTTTCTTTTTCCAAAGTCCCTAGCAATTGAAGCAAGCACTCTATCCTTTGATGATTTCAATAAGCAGTGTGTTTAAGCCAGTGCAAGCACACACAAAGGTAGATTGGTGTCCTACATTCAGTAACTAAGAAAAAGTGTCTCTGTATTCATCTAATAAGTGATACTGCACAGTAACAACAGGGGATCGCTCAGCATCTCTGAGACACATCTGCAGAATAAAAGCGTCTGCAGTTAGTATAGAGTCTGACAAACTATTCAGAGGGAAAATGACCTTTCCTTTTCACTCAGTATGAGTAACCTTACATTTTCACCTGATTATGATCACTCACAAAAGAGTTTCAAGCAAACAGATGTGACCAATGGCATTTCTGCTGAGAACTGGCAAACTGTGACCTCTGCAAATTTAATGCACATCGGAGATTGTCTAATCAGTTCTCCTACATCCTGCAATCATCTTCACAAAGCATTCAAGATGGCATTCACAGATGATTCAAAGATTTCATGAATCATGATGGGAGAATGAAAGATGTTGAGTACTATGCATATCACTGAAACTGTTGGCCTCATGATCCATGTTAATAAATATTATATAATAATTGAGTCACACAAATAAGGACACTAAAAAAAAGATGCAAAAAAAAATATATGTGATTTTATTCTTAGATTGCTGCTGCTCTTATAATACTGAGTGGAAAACTGGCTGCAGTGTGTAATAATCCACAGACACTGCCCAGATGGGATACAATTTTATGGTTTGAACTACTTTACAGTTATATACTTTAACCTTACTATACTTTAACCAAACTTTAATATAGTTAAAAGACGGCCGGGCAGGGCATTCACCGTTCCAGGTGGATATCATATGACATCCTTCCAGAAAATGCCCGTTGAGCACCTCAGGGGAACCTCTGCAGCATGATCTGTCACCAGCTGTGTCCACTGGATGACCAATCACCGTATCGGTTATTGCTGGTACCGTGTGATTGCTGTGATCAATCCGTCAGATCACATGACAATTGTACACAATGCTTTCATTAATGCCATCCATTGTGTACTATTGTGTTAATCTATGTGATTGGTCACAGTGATCACATGGTACAGACAGGACCAATCACAGTCCACCTGTACCATGTGATTAGCTGTGGCCAATCACAGCTAATGACAATAGTAATCACTGAATGAATCAGTTTCATTCAGTAAAAATGGTTGCTTTTAACAGTGAAATTCACTGGTATAAGCAATCACAATGTGTAGAAAAAAATCCCGAACACTTTCACAGAGTAGTAGAGTGTTACTATGGAAACATGTTATTGCTCTGGTCACAGTGTGTTTAAAAAAAATCATTTAAAAAATGTAATTAAAAAGAAAAAAAATTAAAAAAATTAAACATTTCTTTTTAAATTTTTACTTTTTTTTTTTTTACATTCTGTCACCAGTTAGTGTCCCTGTCTCTTACTGTTCCTCTCATACAGCAAAAAGGTAAGGGCAGTTATTGATAAGGTATGCAGCTTGGTCCAGTATCCAGCTTGCTCTAGATACTACAAGTTATCCCAAATAAAATTAATCTGTTTCCCTGTACCATCTATCAAGTGTTCATATAAATGTAAGACTTAATTAGTTAAATGGAAAGTATAGCTTCTTTTCAGTGAACATATATTTTGTGCTATCATTGCTTTGCTTACCTTACACACTTGAAGATTCTGAGCATTGGGAATACAGTATGTTCTTGAAAACTTTAAAAAGGTTGCTAAAGCATACGGCTATGTTCACACTTAACTTTATTTCCAACTCCTGCCAACACCCCTATAGAGTTTGACAGGCATTAGACAGGCATTTGGGAAGCGTTTTTAATGCTCCCCAAATGCTCCCCAAACACCCTATGCACATTTTTGAGGCATTTGATAGGCATTTGCAAAGTGTTAAAACTGCTCCACAAACGCCTATAATGAAGTTTAATGTTATTAACGCTCCGCAAACACCTCGCAAATGTCTGCCAGGCTTTAGAGAAGCATCACCATAGACTTGAATGAGAGGCTTCAACTCCTCCAGACTGGACATAGGTGTCAGTTTTGCAGCCATGGGAAGCTAACGCTTCTGTGTGAACAGCACTGTGTGCTGCCACTTGCAGAATTTTCATAGGTGTTTGAGAAGCATTATAAATGCTTCCCAAATGCCTGTCTGACGCCTGCTGACAAAGTTAGTGTGAACGTAGCTTATCTCCTATATTTGGCTTTTCTATCTCTGCTGCAACTCCCCTTGCCACTTTTAACAGCAATTACCAGCTGCCAAAACGACAGCTGGTAACTATGTACTACATAGCAGGAACAGCTATCAAAATGCAACAGCACTTATGTAAAATGACACTTGCAGGTAGTCTACAAGTGTCAATAAGTAAATATAATGTAACAATGTATAACTTCATTGTATTTACTATTTTAGCCATATGTAAATAAAAGATGTAACTTTTGATCAGCTTATGACATTAGTTAAAGAAACCTTACAAGTAACAACATTTTTTAAATTAATATATTCCTATGTATTCCATTATTAACCATTAGTTAACCCTGATGATTTTATTTTTTAATACCATTAAACGTTTTTAATTTTCATTCACTTTGGGTTTTTTTCAGTGTTGCATAAAAAAGTGTAAAATTGAAAAATAATATTTGCAAATAGCTTTGCCATGCATTGCACCAGAAACAGCAATAATCTTCTGTTTTAAAAGATTTTATTACTGTCCTCAAGAGAAATGTGTAAAAAAAAAAATAGTAGGTAAAGCAGTTATAGGGTGATACAGATTGTTCAGATTGATAAAAGGTGGCATCAAAATATGGAGGCAGGAAGTGCATGGTCCGGGGGTCCAATTTTTGCAAAATATAAGTAAGTTGCCTTGCTGATGCCCCAGGAAGCCATCCCCAGGGGCGGACTGACCATTTGGAAACTCGGGCACTGCCCGAGGGCCTGGGGTCAGTAGGGGGCCCCATGAGATGCCCCTGGTACCTTTTTCGTAGGCTTTTTTGAGTTTGGGCAAGGACACAGGGGCCCCATGATCCCCTATTGCCCGGGGGCCCCATGAGTTGTCAGTACGCCCCTGGCCATCCCTTGACATCTCTTGAGATGAAACATGCGTAGGGCGGACAGCAGCAGAGATGTGAGTACACCCGCTGGGAAAGCGGAGCATTTTCTGTGTTATACTGCATGAGCCTTTTTTGTTTGTGCTATTTTTTCAATAATAAATGGTGTGTGTAATACTACACAATGGAGTTTTGTTCTGTGTTTCCTACTGAATATTATTGAGCTTTGGAAATTGATATTGGAATCTTGAAAAGTGCTGTATGATCTCTGTGAATGTAGGGTCTATTGCTCTGGTAATCAGTTCTGTGTGCAGGTGAAGGAGAACTGGATGGATTATTTTGCACTGAGATTTTTTTTACACTTGGATGAACTTTGTTTTATCACTAATGAATATTGAGTACTGTGAATCATATTGATTGGATATTACTATGTGTTTGATATAGTAGATAGATTGTTACACAATATACGGGATTGTATGTTTATCTGCTGAATTTATAATTTAAAGAGACAGCTTTTTTTATTCATCACTGATGATATTGAGCACTGTGATTCATGTTGATTGGATATTACAGAGAGGGTAGATTATTTTGGGACTTTTACCAAGGTTTGTTTGGCTGACGTGAAGATGTGGGTAAGTAAGTAGGATTCCGGCTTTAGTGTAGAGGTTTGTTTTAAAAGGCTTTCCATGTTTAATTTGTAACCAGAAAGGGTAGAGATTATAGAAAAGACATTTTGCCAAATTTTATTGCTGAATGGACAGTAGTTTTTGAGTTGTAAGTATCAAAAAATTTCAGAAGATGGAATATTATGTGAGTTCCATAGATATTCAGAGGACTTAAGGCCATCTATTGTAAATAGGTTATAGACTATATGGAGTTTAGCTGAATTTCACCACTTAAAAGATTGTGGAGATTCATAATAGATAAGAAAGAAGGTTTACTTTGCATGGTAGAGAGTGGGAGATGGGACTATAAGAGTTTTTGAGGATATTAAATATCAGTATTATTGTAAACAAGCAAAATTATCAAATAAATGTATGTATGCTTTAACATAGAGAATAAAATTTATTTGCTGGACAGAAAGCCTAGTTTGTCCCAAAAATAATGATTGTATTACCTTGTTTTCTTAAGTAAAAATTGGGAATGTATAAATTGTTCTGATCAATAGGGGGTTATAATGAGAGGTAGAGTAACTGCTTAACAGCTGTTCAGATAAGGTATTCACATAGGGATTATGTTGTTTTCAATGAGTCAGCTGATTACAAGGACCTGATTTATCAAAAGTAAATGACTGTGTTGTGGGTGCAACCCAAGGGCGTATCTGCCGTGAGGAAAACAAGGCGTTTGCCTTGGGTAGCATTTTACAGGGGGTGGTAGCACCTCAAAGCAGAAGGGACACTGGATGTGAGTGGCAGGGCTGCCATCAGGAGGGGGACAGTCAAAAAACAAGTAGGGGGATTGGCTGCAAAGGAGGCCAGAGTATTGGGTGGATCCCCAATGTGCGCTGGGTGCAGTTGAGGACTGATCAGGATCTGCAGTGTTCGCTGGGCTGTGCTGACTGTGTGGAGTGGGTGAGGCCAGGAGGTGCCAACGGAGGGCCTGTGGAGGAGGGAGAAGAAGAGGATGAGGTCAGGGTGGAGGAACCCCCACTCTTTGTTGTAGCTGCCACCAGAGAGCCTGGTGGAGATGGGACACAGGCTCAGTTACTGCTCCTGGCACCAAATCCTAACACCATTTGGAGAAGCCACTGCTTGACAGGTAAGATCTTGGAAAACTGGTGCTTAACTACTCCTGTAACGCTGCCCCCCATCACATTGCCACCCTACCTGTCCTGCTGCCCCTCCATACTACTGCTCCCACCCATTCCGCTGCCCCCCTGTCATGCTGCCCCCCACTTGTTCCACTGCCCCGTCATGCTGCCCCCCTCCTTTCCCACTGCCCCCTTCCTGTCCTGCTTCCCCCCACCTGTCCCTTTGGCTCCATCCTGTCCCACTCCCTCTCACCTGTCCCGCTGCCCCTCCTGTCCCACCCCCATCATGCTTCCCCCCACCTGTCCTGCACCCCCCTGTCAAGCTGCCCCCTATCACTCTGCCCCCCTCCTGTCACGCTGCCCCCCTCCTGTCCTGTCCTAAAGGACTGGATCTTAAACAAATTTAGATGGGGGGGACTGATTTTAGTCTTGCCTAGGGCAGCACAAAATCAAAATACACCACTGGGTGCACCCAGCAAACACTTTAGTAACCTAGTAAAGTGTATATCTTTATTAAATGCTTATACTGTGTTTGTCATTTGCAGTGTACATTGAACATCCAGATACAACTGTTTTTGTGGGTCACATGAAGCAATGCTACATTAGGCTCAGTTCCCACTGCTGCACAGCAACAACATGCATATCACAGTGACAACATGTGCATTATGGGTGTTTGTACACTGTGATGCTATTGATTCCTCCAAACCTGCATTGCAGTGTATCACAGCACATTACCATGCATTTTGATGCACGTTGTTACAAAAAAATATTGCATTCAACTTCTTAGGCAGCAGCACATTTAACAAGCAGAATATGGCCATTGTAATAGCAATTTTTCAGTATTTCATCATATGTGTTATGTTCTTTTTTATCCTTTTTTATGTAGTTTTAATTTTGAAAATTAGAATGTTTTTAGCTGATAAAACATTCTGTCTATTTTATTATAAACTCAAAATAAATATCAAATTCAGGCACCAATTCTTTGGTACAAAAGAACACTGAATGAATGTGGATAATAGAATTATCTACAGTTATTTATTATTTATTGTGAAAAGGTAAAGGCCACTGGCCTTTAATTGAAGAGTTTCAACAATGAACATTTCATTTCACTCAAGAGATCTTAGTAGGCTGACATACTGAAATAATGCACATTGATACAAAACACTAGAATTGGCATAGATGGTAGACTTTTAAAATTAAATTGGCAGTAGCCCATTTTACACACAATGTATGTGCACCTGTTCAGCTGGCTGCCAGCATTCTCTTTGAAGTGATCACTGCCAGAATATGTATACTTTTTAAGCAGACTGTTGGCTTTCTTCATGAACTGATCATTTGCACAGGTCCCTGTAGTGCCTCCACCCACTTGCTCCACAATCTTTAGAATGGACAAAACGGGTACTGCTTTGTACGGTGAGTGGAACTCAGAGAAAGTCCATTCAATTATTCTCCCTCCAGTGAAGGCAGTGGTGGGCTGTCAGAACCAGCAAGGCTTTCTCTGCTGGCATAAACCCTTCTTAACACTGACTTATGTTTTAATATATTTTTTAAATGAATGTGTTATTCCTAGTGGTCTATTCGCTTTAGAGCTTTTATCCAATCATATTTCAACCATGATAGCCATAATGTTTTGCCAGGGTCAAAGAAATCTGCCTTGAGGCCTTCATAATCAACTGTGCAGGTTGGAGAGTTGAGGCTTTGAGTTGGTGACACCGGGCCATCTAGCAGGCATACAAGCATGTCTGCATCCTTTTCTATTTTTTCAGATCTAAATGTAACAGATCAGAGGTAGTTTGAAGTAAATGGACACAGCAGACCACTGTGTGTCCCTTCTTCTGTAGTATCCTGGGATATGTAAAGGTTTTACATGGATAAATAAAAGCTGATCATTGTAAGCACCCATTACTAATAAATGGCTTATCTCATCCCTCTAAACTGATAAATCTGCAAGAGAGCTTGCTCTTTTGAAAAACAACAGACTTATTGGCTAGATCATCAGATGCAAATAAAATAAAGAAAGCTTAAAAAAAAAAAATGCAGCCATCACATCTAAGAATTCGTAAGCTGCAATATGATAAATGTTTACTTTTTGGTTTAATGCCACTTTACGTAATTTTGACGATATATGGGTAATTCAGGCCCACATTTTTTTCATGGTCCAATTGTTTTCCGTGGTGAATTTTTAAGGTTTCAGACAAAAATTGCTGAAATATTTCAGGTACATACTTAAGGCCTAGGTGGGAAATGAACATCCCGCCTCTGGGTGAAGGACACGTATCACTTATTGCTTCAGTGTTGTCATTCCCTGGCAGCACTTGCAAGGAAACAGCTAATGGAGCATGATTGGTGCTCCATTAGCTCCAGTGCTCCATTAGCTTCAGTGGAGTACAGTGGAAACATCACATTTATAATAGCCCCCTGATGTCAAGAACCTATCATTGTAAAAATGCTATCACAAAAGGAATATCAGTCCCCTGTGTTGTAATAAAGTTGTGCAAAAAAAAAAAATGCAATAAAAGTGTCAAATAAAAAGTAGAGCTATGTTCATGCTTGACATATTGAGTACCTATTTACTTGGTGCAACCTCTTCTTTTACCAAAAAATGGGTAATATATTGTTTTGTGTGCAATAAGTTTTACTGAAAATATGCTTTTGATAAACCATTGTGCTAATATCTTGTGAAATAAAAATTGTAATGACCCTGCTTTCAAAAAACATATGTTTAGGGGTTTTACCAATCTTCAGACCTAAAATGTGCAATTTATCAGATGTGAAAAAAAATGCAAAAAAGGTTTCTGCAGGAGAAGGGGTAAGGAAAATTATACTGATGGTGCCTGCAATCAATTTAGGTGTGGGAGGGGAATACTCCTAAAATAGCAAGGTAAACAATAAAACAAAAGAATTTGAAACACAACCCAAAATTAGTCATTAATTAAACTAAAAAACTGTTAACTGTACGTGCATTTTTCTGAATGCGCTATTTTGAAAAAATATATTTCCAGATTTGTAACATAAAAAAGCCTGTCTTACACAATGGCCTATTTCCATAGATCCTAGTCAGCAACTTAGTTACCTACTAAATTATGCAGTGAGCTGCTGTGTGCAATCTGCAGCTGGAAGGGCACAATTGTTTGCAGTGGAAAAGATCCAACAAGGCTGTGCCAACAGCACAGGATACCTCTCATCTGTCATCATCCAACCTTCAGGAAAAGCCATCAAAGAACAGGCAGTACCCAGGTGTAAATTGTTT